TTAATCTAAAAAAATATTTTACAATTCAATAAATCAACATATTTTTTTTATTAACCTCCCAGTATTTAGTAATCACGTTGAATCTCGATTAATTTAAAATCAAGTCGCATCAAACCCTATTAGGAAACTCTCTCAACACATATTTCTCCATTCACAATACTCAAACTTGAGACCTTGATTAAAAAAAATCAAATCTTTCCACTCAAACCAATAAATTATTGATAAATCAACATATTCTTAAAAACATAAATTATATTAATATTTTTTAGTAAGAAGCTACTACCAAACCACTGTGTACTTTGGGCACATTCCTGATATTATTATAGGTTGCTGGATTTCAATTGTTCAAATATTTCTAGGTTGCACGAATTTCCTAGGACATTACCAAATCAGAGAACTAGATCATGCACCATGGCTCATGGATGATACCGGAGCAGCTCAAGCTACTGGCAAGAGGAGCCCGGCAATCAAAGAAAATCATATATTAGCGGGGATTAGCATTCAGCTATGTTAACATGGTAAAAGACATTGCCATCAAATTACTTGGACGCATGTTGTGATAGATAGATTAATACCATACTAGAACTAGTTTAATTTTGGATACCAATAACTAATCGAAAACAAACTGTCATAGATTCCATAGTCATCCAGAGTTACACAAACGAGATGGTAGATAGAAGAACAAACGCGAGATGCATATAGTCAGAAAACCAACAGAGATTATATGATATTATGTTCTAATTGGACACAGTAGAGGAATATATCCGATAATGGGAAATTCTTGCTGCTGCAGCCTAAAAACCATGGATCTTTATATTTTCCTTCTTCACAATACCAGCCTGAACAAGGAAAGTGGAGACATTCTTCCGCTGGTCACCTTGAAGTTGAATAACCTATAAATTCACATAGATAAGATCAATTAAAAGATGAGGCACACTAACAAAGAGAGAATAAAGATCAATTTTACAAGGGGTTTTCACATACCTGCCCTAATTCAGGGTCCTGGACAACAGTGCCATTGCAGCAGAACTCCTTCTTAAGGTCCTTGAGTATCTTGTTGTAGCTGAATTCCTTCTTCAACCCCTGGACAGTTGTCAGGCTTTTCCTACCGTTGCGCTGCTGAATACGGATGTGCACATACTCCTTTGAACCAGCTCCTGAGTCCTCAGCATTTGCATCAGCAAAAGGATCTAGCACCCAAGAATATTACAGAACTTTAATTATCCACGTACGAGACAATCAGATTGATAAGGGCATATGTGTTCAAAGTTTGGAAGAAATTACCAAAGGCAGTAGGAACGTCAAGAGCAGACATGAACCTTAGTTGATGGAAAAAGCCTAACTATCAGAATGCTCAGACCTGGAGTGAAACGTTAGTCCCTCGTCAGCAACACACCAATATAGTCTCAACTCATAAGGAAAAAAGGAAAACACCACTAAACAACTTTAAAATAACACTAAAATGCAAGCATCAAAGACAGATTTTCAAACTTGCAACCAAATAAAATCAATCCATGCTTTTAGAACAAGTACAGCCCACATATGACATGTCTGAACAAAATCAATACACACACGCAAAATCAACAAACTAACAATATTTCAAGCCCACTACAGAATACATCAACTCACCACACTCTACCATCCAAATATAAACCATAAAAAGTACAGCATGCAGCCACAGATGTAACGAGATATTTTCCAAGTACTGATCCATTCACGAGATTAAGAATCTTGTTAGCATATCACCCGTCAGTCAGAGAACACACTTCTATTCATCACAAAGATAATCATGGCGAACAGAGCCACTCTATGGGGTAAAAAGGGTAAACTTTTTAACAATAAAAAGTTCTTGAAAATATCAATTACAAGTAAACCAGAAATCAGAATTGTACTTAAGGGAAATCAAACCGAAATCAATCAAATTTGCAACAGGATCATAACGGCTCCACATAAAATTGATGATACTTTTGGTATTACAAGACACCAAAGACATTAAAACAATCATCAAAAAGACTATTACGATATTTTCCCATCTTGAGCCGATTCAAAACCCTAAAAATTTCCGATCTTCCCTAATAAACCACATAATCAAAACCAGCTAAATCCAAAAACACGAAAAATATCCGATCTTTAACCAAATACACAAAACCAAAAGGCTAGAAAAAGAAATCGACGAACTTTAATTGATCAATAATTACAAAAATAGACGAAAAAGAAACGGAATTTAGGAACTAGAAGAAGCAAGGAATATACCTGATCCGAGAATTAGGGTTTGTGAGAATCAAATTCCACGATGATCCTAAAAACAGAAACCCTAAGATCGGATTAAGTCTAAGCGAGCGCGTTCCCTCTCTCTCTTGTGCGTACTTAGAGCTGTTTGGGGAGAGAGAAACCGCAAAAGAAATATCTAGAGATGCAATTATATAAAAAGAAGAAACTTTATTCTCCCCCTTTTTTCTTTTTCTTTTTTTTCTTTTTTTCTTTTTTTTAGGGTTTCTAATTTTCTTTTGCGTCGGCTGAGGGACACAAATTTTCCTTTGTAAACTCGCGAGAGTGTATTTATATACACAACTATGGTTATATAATGATAAATTTTTAATTTTTTACTTCTTATTATTACAAAATGATATATAAAATATTATAGATAGATAAATATTTAAATAAAAATTAATTTAAATTTTATTAATTATCTATATTGATATTTAAAATTTAATTTAATTTTATAATTTTTTATATAAATTAATAATAAAAAATATAACAAATAAAGCACATGTTAAAAAGATCATTCTTTTTATCTTATGTTAAGAAAAATTTGGATATTATGGTAATTAAATCTCATAAATAAAAAATTTAAACATTTTTAATAAATCAACTTAAAAATTTTTATTAAATATATTTAAATAATTTCATAAATAACTTAATGTCTTAATTTATCCATTTTTATTACATTAACATCCAAACATGGTCTTCAAGTTTATAAAAACAAAATGTCGTGCAACCACGTTAGAGCAACCACCAAATGTGGCTGATCCTCTTAAAACGGATAAAAATCTATTTTTACCCCCATTATCTTAATAGATTTATATATTTTAATTATTTATCTTATATTGTGATATTTTTAATCTTTTATATATTTAAATTAAAAAAAATAACTCTCATTTAATATCATATTATAACATCTAAAAATAATTAACTGTTAACATTTTGTTAATTTTATCTCTATCACAACATTTAAGTTAATTTCTGCCAACTAAAACATGCCGAATCGGAAATCTTTTCTCTCTCTCCCCCTCCTTTTCTCTCCCTTCTCTCTTGCTTTTGCTTCCTTCTCCGGCGCTGCGTTT